AGAAAAGAAAAGAAAAGAAAAGAAAAGAAAAGAAAAGAAAAGAAAAGAAAAGAAAAAGAAACTAAGTTAAAATAGAATGTTTTAGGAAGCTTTTTGGAGTGTAACTTAAGCATGCAGAAATGAAAGTTTGGCTCAAAACCATAGTGAAAAATATTTCCATGTAACTTGAGATGTCACCTGCAAAGTGCTTCCCACGGCTATATTGACTCTTTCTAAATCTCTTGTTAAGAAGTTGGATTATTACATGGTTTCAGGTGAGACTGACTGCTGCCCAAGGTGGACAGATGCAAAACCCCCTCTAGAAGTACTGGTACTTATTTAAAATATGTATTTTTTAGTGTAAGAGTCTATAAAATAGTCATAGCAACTGTTGTATACAGTACTACTGTATCTGCTCAGACTCTGACATTGAAACAGTAACACAGGTTCTTCTGAATCATTATCTGGAGTACCGTATCTAGAACTGTAGCCAACCTTTGTAATATAGCAATGGCAATTAGACTTTCTAGACTTGATCACTCGCCCAGGGATGCTTAGCTCAGACAAAAATAGTTTTTTAATGAACATGCGTGTTAAGTATTTCTTCATTTTTGCTTTTGTTTTAATTTTTGTGTGTTTGGTCTATGACCATATAGTTTAATAAGCTAAAGTAAACAGATGTGGAAGAAGGTGGAGAGAATATAAGAAAGGCTTCTGTCATGTAAATGGAAACCTACTTGTATAATTTTTTAAATATAATTTTTATTAAAGACTTTTTAAAAAGGAAGATAAAACTAATGCAAACTAATATAAAGTAAGAAAAAGAAAAGAAAAGGAAGAAATGAAAGAGAAAGCTAAAAGTGCAAGAAAGGAAAAAAGTAAAAGAAAACTAGAAAAGAAAGAAAAAAGATACAAAGAAGTAGCTTCTGATCTTCTTTACAGCAGCTATAAGTACAATTATACATTTATCTCCTACTCTATGGTTACAACGTAACTCTCTTATTTCTATAATCTGTCCTGTCTAATCATCAGAACCATAAATCATAAGTTCATTTTTTTCCGTTTCATGCAAAAAGTCTATAAAGGGGTTTCCAGTTAGCAATAAACATAGACGTTGTCTTTTCTCTGATCAAAGAAGCCAATTTGGCCATCTCAGCAAGTTCCATCATCTTCACCATCCATTCCTCCATTGTGGGTAGTGCCAAATCTTTCCATCTTTGTACATACAATAATCTTGCTGCAGTTATCATGTACAAAAATAAAAGTTCCATAACTTTTTTTCCAACTGTTAGTCCATCAATCCCAAAAAGAAAAACCTCTGGTCTTAATTGTATATTAATCTTTAAAATCCTCTGAATCAGTGTATGTATTTGAATCCAGAATTTTC